AAGTCGTCCTAAGACAAGAACGCATTTTGGTTTTAGGACAACTTTGATGAAAGGTTTTGATCCACTTCAAATGTTGACTAGTGTATATATATATATATATATATATATATATATATATGAGAACGTGTTTTAAAGAGTTACTTTTACTAAGAATCTAATTAGAATCACCATTAAAAATAATGAAATTTACAAACATACTTCAAAGCATCCAGATGCATTAAAGTAATGAAGATTTGTGCTTAACTCGCATGAGAATAATGCAAAACACAAAAACATCTTAATACTCCTAAAATAGGCTTCATTTTGCAAAATATTATTGAATTTCTCCTTTGATTTTATTGTAAAATACAACCTAGACTCAATTTCATGATTTCATCACCCAAAAAGGAAAGGTGTGCAATGTTCTTCAGTTGATGCAATGAGAAGATGACAGTATTTAGGTTTACATGCAGGCAAAACAATCCATTTATGCATGAATCTCAGGTTTAATTCATAACATCGATTCTCCTTGAGAAGAATCTAGACCAATGAATACCTTAAAATGAAAAAACAACCACTAAAGCTCCTCACAAACATCAGCTTGAGGCCGTGTCCTCCACTACAGCACTGAAAAACAGCTTAAATGCCTTGGATGAAGACAGGAGCCATTAACAAAATGACGATGGCCTCCTTACTAATCCATTTAGAGAATGACAGGAGCACACAGGAGGATGAGAGCGGGACAGACAGCACCAGAGCCGTGTGTGTTCACATGCAAATGATAATTACCCAGCATGCCGGCTGAGTGTTTAATTGCAGGTGGCAGCGCTCGGCTGATTCAAGGTGTCTGCACTCAGATATTTAGGCCTGAATTTGAGATTTATGTATCTAAATTGCATATAAAATTTCCATCCATTTGGATTACACAATTGTAACATGAATAACTAATAAACTTCATACATAAATGAAACGGTTAAGAAAAAGGCAAGATTTCTGTTATGATGCTGATTATAATAAACTGAATGGGTTTTAAATGCACAATAGCCAGACTGGTATTTTCAAAATGCATTTACTCAAATCTGTTCGTTGTGAAAACAATTACATTTATTAAGTTAAAAAGTATGAATAAAGTTAAAATATGGCTATGGTTGTGGAATAAGCAATATTAAGTTAGTTAAAATGCATGAGATTGAAACAAACTGGATTTATTTATGACAAATATATAAACCTGGTTATTGTGTATTTAAAACACACTCAGTTTATTAGTATTATTACAGAAATCCGATTTGTTTCATTTATGCATGACCGACGAATATGCATCACATTAAGTTTATTAGTTTATTTATGTTAAAACTATGTAATCCAAATGCATGAGAATTTGATATGCAATTCAAATCCACAAATCTGAAATATTTTTGGAGTTCAGCACGAATGCCGCTTCAGTTTCTGCCTCAGAAACCAGACTCATGCTGCATTTCAGCGTTTCTCCACCTACCTTCAAAGGCTCTGGCGGCGTCGACGAGGTGAGACCAGTCCAGGCCTGTGGCGGTGTCCGGCAGAGGCATGAGACCCGGGTCGCTGAACTTCGAGCGGTCGGCCAGCGAGCCGTCAGAGAACCAGAACTCATCTGAAGAGACGTTCACACACACAAAGAGACAGATCAGCGACACGCGTACAGCACCAAACCCTTCCCAGCAGAAACACAGTTAGCGCTCAATTCACTCCATCTGTCGGGAGGTGAGGAAGGTCACTGTAATGAAGGCAGTGGGAGTGACGGAGCTGAAGAAAAAACAACGGTTGAATCGGTAACCTGCTGTCTTCACCACATAATGATTCCTTTTACAAGATCTCAAAGACTTCATCCTCCAACACAACTGACAGCAGAACGAGAGCAAGATCACACCGTTCATCTGAAATCTGCTCACTAGGAGATTAAAGACTTCAAGAATATAGATGACAGACTAGCCCACACACACACACACAGACGTCTCTTCTGCTCACCAAGGCTGCATTTATTTGATAAAAAATACAGTAAATTTGTGAAATATTATTACAATTTAAAATAGCTGTATTCTATTTTAATATAGTGTAAACTGTAATTTAATTCTGTGATGCAAAGCTGTATTTTCAGCATCATTACTCCAGTCTTCAGTGTCACATGATCTTCAGAAATCATTCTAATATGCTGATTTGCTGCTCATCAAACATTTCTGATTATTATCAATGTTGAAAACAGTTGTGCTGCCCAATATTTTTGGGCAATATTTAGAAGCCATGATATATAGGATTCTTTGATGTATAGAAAATTCAAAAGAACAGCATTTATTTGAAATAGAAATCTTTAGTAGCATTATAAATGTCTTTACTGTCACTTTTGACCAATTTAATGAATCCTTGCTGAATAAAAGTATTAATGTCTCAAAAAAATCTACTGACCTCAAAATTTTGAATGAACATATGCATACTTTTTTATATTAAAATTTTAATTTAAAAATTTTACATTTTTACTATATTCTTAATTATTACATATATTCTTATATTATAAGTTGTGAATACAATTAATATATTATTAATATTATTATTAGATAAAATTATAGTATATTATAGTCTATATAGCAATATAGCATATTTGAAGTAATAATACACACACACACACACACACACACACATATATATATATATATATATATATATATTTATTTATAAATCTATGTTTTGTAAACAAATATCGGGTGAAATAGTCAATTTAGACTACTTTAATTTTTTTTTATTGATCCCTTTCAGTATTGAGTGAAATGTAAGTATGTTTATAATCCACATTTCTCTTCTAAGGATACATGCAATGCTGCTTAAAAGCAAAAATAAGTAATTTTATGCAGCAGCACCGTGTTGGACAGCCGTCCTGTCAGCGGATGAAGTCTTAAGTCTTAAGTCCAGTCTCGTTTGGGTTTAGGAGCGGAGCTGCAGCCGTCAGGAGCTCCTAAAACATGGCCTCATTTTTCAATCAACTGCATGCGTCCAGACCTCTCTCTGTACATCTCTCTCTCACTGATAGACAGGATACGTCATAAACATTTCCATCTCACAAAGAACTGGCTCTGAGAATGATGTGAGGGGAAACACCGGAGGTAAATGTCTCTCTCTCTCTGAGCCTCAGAGGGATGCAATCTGTCAAATTAGAGCGTTCACTAGATGAGCAGGGTGAGGAAAAAATCCGCAAACTGCTATCTGTCGAAACAATCAGAAATGTATCACGCGTGACAGCATCAGCCTCCTCGGGCCACTCGAAAAACCAGCTATAAATGAATCAGCTCTCACACTCTGATTAAAGCTGCTAAATGTGTTCATATTACACATCCTTTAAACCAAATGAGATGTGATGGTTTGCTCTGGTGTGTGTAATTGCGCCTTTATCCGTCATTTATTTCATGTGTCACTTGCAGCAAATCTAGAGAAGGTTTACCCCACTACAGACAACCGTTGGCAGGTCAATATCTTTAATTAGGGTTCATATCGTGGACCCAAAACATATTTGGAGACTTAAGCCACACTTAATCTGATAAAAATATTATAATAATTAATTTCAGATTTTTAATAATTGTAATATTTATATTATTGTTATGGTTTCCTATTATTATTGTTATTATTAAAAAAGTAACACAATAATTAATGATTAATACAATATACAAATTTATAAAACAAGTAATGTAATTAATTAATATTAATATTATTTATATAAATACAATATAAAACATTAATATATTTTACACTATAAAATATAAAAATTGAAATAAAATAATAATAATAAACAATAATAAATACTATTGCATTAGAACACAAAATATCTAAATAAATGTTTTTCTTTGTTATTAAATAATAATAGCACAAACACTCTTTTTATGCAAAACGTGGAAAAAAGAAGCCTAACACAATAATTAATGATTAATACAATTATATACAAATTTATAAAACAAGTAATGTAATTAATTAATATTAATATTATTTATATAAATACAATATAAAACATTAATATATTTTACACTATAAAATATAAAAATTGAAATAAAATAATAATAATAAACAATAATAAATACTATTGCATTAGAACACAAAATATCTAAATAAATGTTTTTCTTTGTTATTAAATAATAATAGCACAAACACTCTTTTTATGCAAAACGTGGAAAAAAGAAGCCTGTTAAATTTTAAATAACAATAGATATGCTGATTAAAATGAAGATTAAAAGTATTTTAGAGAGTTAAGTCACCCTTAAAAATCAGATAATAAACATTATAATCATATTTATATTATTGTTAAATTTTTTTATTATTATTATTATTAGCAATTAATAATAATGTATTTAATTACTTACTATTTATAATAATGCATGTATTAATAATAACTAGGGGTGCTCCGATCAGGATTTTTGAGGCCGATCACCGATCGCTAGATAGATAGATAATAATAATAAACAATAATAACAATAAATATTGCATAACACCAAAAGCATGCATCATTCATTACAAACTAGCACAAACACAATTTAAGCCAAACTTTTTTTTCAAGCAAAACAATCTGAGTTTGTTAGATTTTAAATAAAACAATAGAAATGCTGTCTGTGGCATGAATCCAGATGTTATTCCGTTATTATTAGTTGCAATAAACATGGCAACATGTCAACTAAACTTAACTTTAAATTAACTTTATCTCAGCATGATTCTCTTCTAACAGTAGTCGTCATGACATCAAGATGATTGTTAAGGCTAATGTACACTATAGCGTGTAAAAGTCGGTAAAGCTGGTTCCGTGATTAGTAGTAAATCTCCATCACCTGCTTTCAGATGGAGCAATCACATGTGATTTATTGCACAGCCCTACTATAGCGTTCCTTGTGACAACGTGGAAAATGCAACCGACTTCATACATCCACTAAAAATCAGCAATACACCAATATGAAAATTTAGTTTAAAGAAAAAGAAAAGACCCTGAAGCATCTGACCACATTCAAACATGTATAAGTGTGACTTAAGTTTCCAAAATCTCTTCTCATCAGCAATGTTGTAATAACACTGAAAACAAAATGTGTAATTTGAATTTGAATGCAAGGAAGTATAATTAAAATAAACTGACATTGCATTTTGCAACTAAAATTGAATATGATTAAATGAATACAGAAGAATACAGAACAATAGATAGACAAACCGATAGAACAATAGATAGACAGACAGACAGATAGACGGATAGATAGAACGAACGACAGACAGAGAGAACGATAGAACGATAGATAGTTAGAATGGTAGAACGATAGACAGATAGATAGACAGAACGATACACAGAACGACAGACAGACAGAACGATACACAGAACGACAGACAGATAGATAGATAGATACACAGAATAATAGATAGATAGATACACAGAACGATAGATAGAACGATAGATAGAACGACAGAACGATACTCAGAACGACAGACAGACAGACAGAGACAGATACACAGAATAATAGATAGATAGATACACAGAACGATAGATAGAACGATAGATAGAACGATAGATAGATCGATAGATCGATACAGTGCCTTGCGAATGTATTCATACCCCTTCATTTTTTTCACATTTTGTTTTGTTGCTGCCTTATATTAAACTGCTTTAAATTAGGTTTTTTCCACAACAATCTACACTCCATACACCATAATTGTCAAGCAAAAAAAAAGGTTTTTAACATATTTGCAAATTTATTAAAAATAAAAAACTAAAATGATTCCATTGCATAAGTATTCATACCCGTTATGATTCATACTCATTATCTGGGACAGTTGAAATTGAGCTCAGGAGCATTCATATTGCTTGTAGATGTTATTACACTTAGAGTGAAGTTACCCTGTGGCAAATTCAATTGAATGGATGTGATTTGGAACCAGCCACAGCCTGGGATTGAACCCAATCAAATATTTCTGGAGAAACCTGAAAATGTGCATCTGCACCCATCCAAGCTGACAGAGCTTGAGAGGTGAACAGGTGAGGTGAAGAATGGCAGATAATTGCAAAATGCTGATGAGCAAAGCTTGTAGCATCAAACATAAAAAGACTTGAGGCTGTAAATGTGCTTCAGCTAAATATTGAGTTACTTATGCAATGTACTTATTTCAGTTTTTTTTTTTTTAATAAATTTAAGTTGTGACAATTCTGTTTTTGCTTTGTCAGTATGGTGTATGGAGTGTAGATTTCGGTGGAAGCCGTGTCATTAAAAAAAGTTTATCATAAGGCAGCAACATAAAATGTAAAAAAAAAATGAAGGGGTGTGAATACTTTCGCAAGGCACTGTAGATAGATAGATAGATAGATAGAGCGATAGATAGAACGTTAGAACGATAGACAGATAGAGTGATAGATAGAACGATAGATAGACAGATAGAACGATAGATAGAACGATAGCTAGATAGAACGATAGATAGATAGATAGATAGATAGAACGATAGATAGATAGAACGATAGATAGATAAATAGATAGATAGATGATACACAGAACGATAGATAGATAGATATACACAGAACGATACACAGATAGAACGATAGATAGAACGATACACAGATAGCTAGATAGATAGATAGATAGATACACAGATAGAACGATAGATAGAACGATAGATAGATAGATAGATAGATAGATAGATGTCTGGTGAGGGTGCAGCACTCACTCTTGAGGTTGGATGTGGGCTGGCTGAGGCTGATACGGGGGGGCAGGGTGCTGTGGTAGGGTGGAGTGCTGCTGAACAGGATGTCGTTGGGCATGGCCTGATCCAGCATGGAGCTCCGCGAGCTGGCATAGGACGACCCCTTCCTGTTACTGCACACGCTCTCGTCTGAGAGAGTCCGGTACAGGGAACGCCGCGGAGACAGGCTGCCCGCCGCCACCTGACAAGAGACACACACACGTCAATCACAGATAATGGACGTTAACACCTGAAAATTGGCATTTTAATTTATTTTACTGCTAATAAAACACATAGATGTATACAGTATCTCACAGAAGTGAGTACACCCCTCACATTTTTGTAAATATTTTATTATATCTTTTCATGTGACAACACTGAAGAAATGACACTTTGCTACAATGTAAAGTAGTGAGTGTAAAGCTTGTATAACAGTGTAAATTTGCTGTCCCCTCAAAATAACTCAACACACAGCCATTAATGTCTAAACCACTGGCCACAAAAGTGAGTACACCCCAAAGTGAAAATGTCCAAATTAATAATGGTGGGCGCACAAAATATTGACACTTTGGGCCCAATTTGGACATTTTCATTTTGGGGTGTACTCACTTTTGTGGCCAGTGGTTTAGACATTAATGGCTGTGTGTTGAGTTATTTTGAGGGGACAGCAAATTTACACTGTTATACAAGCTGTACACTCACTACTTTACATTGTAGCAAAGTGTCATTTCTTCAGTGTTGTCACATGAAAAGATATAATAAAATATTTACAAAAATGTGAGGGGTGTACTCACTTCTGTGAGATACTGTATGTGCAATCAAAGTCCCAGAATAGTCCCAGTGTTTTCTTATCTTTCCCAGCAGGACGCAGTTAGTAGGTTAGTTTTGGACTGAATGAATGGAAAATCCACACAGTCTTGTGTCGTTAAACAGCAGGATGTTATAAATAAAGCCTGTTCTTTATCTGCACTGCTGAGGAATGACAAGAGCGTGTTGTTGTTCTTCCGCTTGTGACTAAAGCAGAGCCGTATTTGGTCAGCTGGATGAGAGGGATAAGAGCAGCTCTGGGGCCTGTGCATCATATGGAGTCACATGTTCAATAACCAGTATGTACTAGTGAGTCTTCAAGTCCACCTGAAGGCATGTGCTCGTCCAAGTGTTTCTAAAGCTTAAACAGAAAAGCATGGCACTAGCAACGCCAAGGTTGTGGGTTCGATTCCCAAGGAATGCATGAACTGATGAAACGAATGCAATGTAAGATAAAAGCGTCTGCCAAATGCAGAAATGTAGACGTCAAACGTTGGTTGTGTTCTAAAACCTAGCAAGCATCCTTAATGTCTACCATCTATGCAGGCAGCATAATAGCTGAAATGGAGCATCATAAATTAATAATGTGAATGCTTTACATGGGCAACAAGTCCATGCACAATACAAACAACAGTTTTCACACAAATCACTCAATAACGACTGATATCAATGGCCTTAGCATGTTACTAAACCAACGGCATGATATCCTAAAGGCATTCAAATACATAAAACACACAAAAAGCTGGCAAAACAGTATTTTTTATTTAAATTCAATTATTTTGTAACATAAAATACACTACTATTCAAAAGTGTGCAGTTAATGTTTTTTTTAGTTTTTTTTAAGAAATACATGTTTATTCAGCAAAGATGCGTTAAATTGATCAAAAGTGACAGTAAAGACATTTATAATGATTTATAATTTCTATTCCAAATAAATGCTGTTCTTTTGAACTTTCTATTCATCAAAGAATCCTGAAAAACTAAATGTATCATGGTTTACATAAAAATATGAAGCAGCACGATATCCAAGCAGCACAACTGTTTTCAACATTGATAATAATCTGAAATGTTTCTTGAGCAGCAAATCAGCATATTAGAATGATTTCTGAAGGTAATGATGTTGAAAATTCAGCTTTGACTCACATGAATAAATTACATTTTAAAATATATTACAATAGAAAACAGCTATTTTAAATAGTAATATTTCAAAATATTACTGTTTTTACTGTATGTTTTAACAAATAAACACACCCTTAGTGAGCATAAGAGACTTCTTTTAAAACATTTAAAAATCTTAATTACACACTGCCTTATGATGGCACCTAGATAGGGAGCTCAGTAGGTTTTGGAACAAACTTATAGTCTTATATATCAAAAATATCTCTCAAATGGCATGAGGATAAAGTTAAACACGTACCCATGAGCTAAATCTTGCCAAAGCTATTTAGATGCATTGTATATGTTCTCCATTCAGAGCGTGAGCCAGAGGAAGTCGGTTCATTCCCAGGCGGAGCTGCCTGATCCTGTTCATTTTATTTATAGCACACAATACGTCTTCCACTATTTGAAACTTGATCAAAAACGTCAGTTTGCTGAATTGCCATCACTGCAGGGAAAGCAGACGTCATGGCACACGGGATTCAGCAGAGCTAAAAGCCTCCGGCCCAAAGCGGCCCTCTGTTTTCACTTCCTTTAGACCAGAATCCCACACAAATCCCATCACTCAACCATGAACCAGCCTCAATAAGTTCTCTCTCTCTCTGGCCTCCTGCACACATGCAACTTCATGGGACTAGATCCGGTCTGGTCCTCTCACTTCAAACGGGATTTGAGAAGCAGCTCCCAAAAAAAAGAAAGAAATGAGAGCAGGCTTTATACGGCTTGTGTGTATTGTCACTGCAAAGGCAGTCTGAGATATTACAGAACTCCCTGTTTTTACTCATCTGGAAAAGAGGGATTTGGAAAAAATGGGAAAAATTACAAATTTTTAATGCTTTTGATATTCCGATAAAGTCTCGGACATCCCTATCTCTGGTTTCTTGGGTTGCTCATTTAATGTGTTTTTGTTATTGTTTTAGATTTAAAATAGTGCTGCAATGTGAAAACTGCATTTTATATTCCTGTCAATTGATCATTATCATAATTGTATACATCATAGTTAGAAATACTTATGAATAAAATATTATAAATATTAATATAAACATTATACATTATTAATATAAATTAACAATATAATTAATTACATCCTAAAAATTAACAATTACATTAAGTAATTTGAAAAAAAAAAAAAACTTACTTAAAAAAAAAAAGATTACATATTTTATTTTCTATTTTAGTTACTATTATATATATATTTTTTATATTTCCAGTTTTCATTTTAATTTTTAGTAATTTTGTTAAATACTTTTGTCATTTTTATTGAAATAATATTTTGGATTTATTTACTTTATTATTATTATTAGAATTTTTCTGTTTTAGTTTATTTCCAGTTATACTTGTTGGTAATTTTAAGTGCTTCAAACTAAACTTATTTCAGTTAGTTGCCAAGTCAACATTTCAATGTTGTTTATTTGAAGTTTTTCATCTAATATTTATATTTTATTTCAGCTTTATTTCAATTAACAAAATGTTTTTTTAATAGTCTTCGTTACTGATAATAACCCTGCCGTGAACATTTAAAATGACATTTTATGTACATTTAATGCAGCTTTGGTGAGCAGAAGAGACTTCTTTCGAAAACATTAAAAATCTTAATCATTCTAAACTTTTGACCAATAATTAGCGAGACACTCTTTAACCAGATAAAACACTTCAGAGATGCACAATCAACAAGAACAACAGAATAAAGATCTTAAAAAGCGAGTGTCCTTTCTACACCTGTTTTATCATCTGAATCACCTCTCCTCAGTGAGTGATGCTCATCATCTGGTGAAAGCAACATGAAAGTGAGTCCAAAGACGGTCCAAAAACAGCTGCTTTTCTATGTACAAAATAAACAAACTAATGTTATACTACATAATGAAACATTCTAATATGTTCTAACACATAAAACATGTTTCAAAATGTATATATTAGAATATGTTTTGTAGAGAAATGTTATTGAATAGTGTATAATAATGCAGTTGAATCCCTTTGACCTAAAATATTTACTTGAAGATTTGAAGTTAATATTTTAATAATTTAACCACACATTTGCATGTTCATGGCAGGGTTATTATTGTTAACTAAAACTAAAAAAACGATTGCAAACGTTCTTGTTAATTGAAATAAAGATGAAATAAAATAAAATATAAATAGTAGCCCAAAAATTTCAACTAAACAATAATTAGAAATGTTGACTTGGCAACTAACTGAAATAAATTTAGCTTGAAGCAGTAAAATAATAAAACTGGAAATAAATAAAAAATAAAACTGAACTAAAAATAAATGAAACATAAATAGCAATGCTAAAACAAAAACTAATAAAATTGGCAAAAGCACATAACATGACCACTAAAAATTTTAATATAAAAATTAAAGCTAATTTAAAATATAAATATTTTGAATTTAAGAAAACATAATATTTCTAAATATTTAGAACAACAAAAATATAATAGTGTATAAAAATACTAAAATATCGGTTAATGATCACACAGCATGCAGGTAAACAAAATATTTCATCTTTTTTATTAAGCATACTATTTTATTTGGATTGTTTTTATTTTCAAATTATTGTAATTGTACATTTTTAGGATTTGATTAATTATTATTAATTCAAAATAACAAATTAATAATATGCATGTATTTATATTAATAATATTCAGTATATTTATATTCATATTTATGATTATTAATAATCATTATGTATGCAGTTATGACAACTATCAATTTAGAGGCTAAACAGAATATGTGAAAACCCAGCTAAAGTCATTTTTTTGTGATTTACTGTTTTCTACATAAAATCATCCTTTATAAAGATGTAGAACATTCTGTGAAAATATAACCTTTATATCTTTAATATTGACTGAGTAAGGTCATGTCAAAGATTGAAATCATAGTGAAATTAATGGTTGAAATCAAACTTTGATGCTTGTTATCTCATAATTAGATTTTGAGATTTTAGCCTGGATTTCACAGACAGGGTCACATATTTGCATTTTTAAAAATGCATTTATCACATTGCAGGACAAATAATAATAAAAAGCATTAAATGAGGGACCCAAGAAACCAGAGACCAGAATATCAGAGACTTTGAGTGGGCTCTGTTGATTTGAACCAGTACAAAACCCCCCTAGCAACTGCACAGCAACACCCTAGCAACGACCTGCAAAAATGAGGGATGTTAGAGAAGTGCAGATGCTCAGACAGTTGAGGTCTAAGCATAGATGGTGGTCAGCGGCCGAGGTGTAACGTATAAGATATCATGCTGTGAGCTGAGCTGGACGGGACGGCTCCCCCTGAGAGCACAATGACCCGTCTGCTTCTGAGGGCATTGCAACACCACACAGACCGCTGAAAACAGGGCACTGTGCATCTACTCCGGCCCTTCCTGGCAGATAATGGGCGGTGGGAGAGACCCGGGAACTCCAAATGCAATTAAGACGGTCTCCAGGAGCAGAGGGGACTTCGGAGAAACAGACGCTCCTCCAACAACTTCCTCCCGTTAATCCACAACATGAAGGGAAAGCAGACGCAGCGAGAGCTCAGCAATCAGATCAGCCAAACAGAATCTGTCCGGACCCAGACGCGTGTTATCGTGTCTCCGGCTGATAACACACATGTTTGCTCAGCCCTCATTCACTTCACACACTGAGGTTATCAGCACTACAGAGTGTGTGTGTGTGTGTGTGTGTGAGAGACGTTTAGCAAATCCTCTGACTGAGACCACATTCACAAATAGTACTAATCATAGCTAATGGAAAAGCATTATTTGCAGCAGGAAGTGCAGCTGTAAATCACAATATTTATATACTACAGTATTTAAGATGGTACTCCAAGACAACCATGGTACTTTGATGGTACATGTCCAAAAATAACTATAAAAACCCATTATTACTATAATACGTCAATATGCCAATATGGTATTACCATTGGAAATATTTAAAAAACAGTAAAATTAAAGTATTACTTTAAAACCATGGTATTAAACAAACAAAAAAAAAATTGCTATGGTACTGGTACTATGTCAAAAAATTTATTAACATTATACTGTGATGCTGTGAATTAAAAACATGGTATTATAGTAAATGTCTAAAAAAACACAGTATACCACAGTGAACCACAGTCTTTATGTTGAAAAAAAAAATCAATGCATTACTATGGTATGACAAAAAAAAGCATGGTATTACTATGGTGCATTACAAAAAACACACGGTATTACCATAGCAAATGTCCAAAAACATAGAATTGTCAAGGTACATATCTAGAACACTATGGCATTATACTTGCCTAAAAAACATAGTTTTATCATCGGACATCTTCAAAAACACGGTATTACCATGATACACTCTGAAAAAAATTTAAAAAAAAAAAAAACATTACCATGGTTCATGTCTAAAAAAACATGGTATTACCAAGGTATCATGTCCAAAAAATCCAAAAAAAAAATGTAAAAAAACATTACCATGGTTCATGTCTAAAAAAACATGGTATTACCAAGGTATCATGTCCAAAAAACATGGTATTACTATGGTAAACGTAAAAAAAAAATACACAGTACAAAGTATTACTTTTGAATCATGGTATTACAATAAAAAAAACTCTTACTTTGGTAGTATGTCGAAAAAACATACCAATGTTATACTATGATGCTGTACATAAAAAAAACATGGTATTACTATGGTAAATAGTTCAAAGGTAATACTTTTTATACAGTTTTTTTAAACATGGTATTAAAGTAAAAAAAAAAAAAAAAAAATCAAAGAATTACTATGGTTAGACAAACATGGTATTACCATGCTAAATGTCCATAAACAGTATTGTCAAAGTACATATCTAAAATACTATGGTATTACCATGGTACTTGCCTTAAAAAACAGTTTTACCATTGTACATCGCCAGAAAACATGGTATTATCATAGTTCATTTCCAAAAAACAAAACAATACATGGTATTACCATGGAAAATGTCCAAAAACATAGTATAATCAAGGTACATATCTAAAACACTATGGTATTACCATGGTAACTGTCTTAAAAACTGTTTTACCATCGTATATCTCCAAAAAACATGGTATTGCTATGGTCCATTTTCAAAAAACAAAACAAGACATTATATTGCCATAGAAAATGTCCATGGTAATTGGAAAAATATACTATCAAAGTGCATAACACTATGGTATTATCATGGTAATTGTTTAAAAAACATGGTATTACCATGGTGTCACGTCAAAAGCACATTTTATTATTATGTCTAAAAACATGATGCGTCAAAAAATATGGTGTTACTATGGTACTCATAGTACTATTAAGATACACATCTATACATATATCTACTATATATCTATCTATTTTTACCATAGAACTAGTCTAAAAAAATACCACCATACATCTATAAAAACATGGTATTACCATGGTCCATATTCAAAAAACAACCAAAAAATACAAAAACAAGGTATTACCATGGTACACAGTGAAAATAAAAAACACAATATTACCACATCTAAAAATACATATTATGGTAAGTGAAAAAAATAATTACCATTGTAAATGTCTAGAAAACATGATATTAACATGGTATCATGTCTAAAAATCATGGTATTTTCAAAACACAAAAAAAACCATGGCATTACCATGGAAAATGCCCAAGACCATGGTACTATCAATGTAAATATCTGAAACACTATGGTATTACCACGATACTAAAAAAAAAAGTTTTACCATCGTATACTTCAAAAAACATGGTATTACCACGGTACGTTTTCAAAAAACAAAACATGGTATTACCACGGTCCGTTTTCAAAAAACAAAACATGGTATTACCATGGTACATGCCAAAAAACCCCCAGCATATTACCAAGTCTAAAAAATATATCATTATGGTAAGAAACATAATTACCTTGCTAAATGTCATAGTATTAGCATGGTATCATGTCCAAAGAAATGGTATTACCATATTACCATGTCTCAAAGCACTTACCAATAAAGCACAAACATACTTCCTTGGTATGCTGGACATGTACTATGGTACTACCATGGTATTCTTGGAGTAGCATGTAAAGAGATGAATTTTAGTACCATAGTATGTTTGAAATGACCATAGTATCTGAATCTAGTGAAGATGATCTCAGTATGTACTGTAGTGTGTAATATAAAGCTATTCTGCATGAGCGTGCATGTACCTTCCTGTGGCCGCTCTCTCCAGGAGGGTCTTCAGGCAGCATCATCTTCATGTATTCTTCTTTAGACATGTTGGGCTGCTGACCTCCGTCCTTCAGTTTGTCCCGTCCTCTGTCCTGCAGCCGACAGGACGTCTCCGTGGCGTACAGCTGCCTGCGGGACACACAGAGCCGGACACGGATTATAAACACAGGCCGGAGATGCTCAGAGAGTTCAGGAGCGAGGGAAGAGCAGGGTCACTCATGCTGGTGGTCAAACACTGAGGATGGAGGGGCATGTGTGAAGCAGGACAGAAGAGCTGTAGATGCTGCAGGTCAGTGTAAAGTCATGATAATCACAGTATCACACCGAACACTAAACTACGAGCTAATGCTAATGTTCCTCACACATCCTTTCATCGGGTGAAGACGAGGAAGGGGAGAGATGGTGACGGGGCGATGTGACCTTGATGCTGCTGTGTGTGTGTGTGTGTGTCTCACGCAGTGTGTGAGTCACTGGCAGCGTGTTATATAGCTGTCAGACTGCATGCACACACAAATACACACACAGGCTAAAACTAAACCGGAATTACAAAAGAAATCACATTTTAAATACATTCATTAAATACATTCAAATGACATTGATCTAGCAATCCCCAGCAATTTGCAAAAAAGTTAGTTATCCTGGAGCATGTGGTGAATTACTGTAAGTAGCTAAAAAAAACCGAATACAACATTTTAATAAAATTACAATTACAAATAAAAAGCAAATACAAATAAATCACACAGATAAATATAGAACAGTGTTGTTATACCAAAGAACAAGAACAGCACTATATTAAGACATAAAACTAAACAAAAATTTGAACTAATTTTTTTCAATAGTAAATTAAATTATTAAAACAAACTCAGCAAATAATGATAATAAAATATATTAAATTTTTTTATGTATATTTATGTGTGTGTGTATGTGAGTTATATATATATATATATATTAATATATATATATATATATAACTCACATACACACACACATAAATATACATAAAAAAATTTAATATATTTTATTATCATTATTTGCTGAGTTTGTTTTAATAAAAATAGGCCTATACGAGAAATATATTTTTACTTAAATAATAAATTAAGAAAACGAAAGAAAAACTGTGCAACAAGTAGCCTAGTATGCAGAGTTTCGGTTCATTTTTGTGCTGCACAAAAGGAAACTAAGCTTTAGGCTTATTTTACAAAAGCACAAAGATTGTATTTATTGTGAATGTACACAAATAAAGGCAAACCTTTTACAATTCCGATTATCTTTAGGACTAAAAGGAGTAGTTGCTTCCACTGTTAGAAGGAAAAAATTCAAGCGATTGCGCCGGCGCCGCA